AGCACCAGAGCAAAGCCAGAAATAGAGCCCTGCAAATCTGCAGGTATCCGCTTTATGTCCACGGATGTGGATATCCACAGACCATGTTTGCGGATCGGATGGGATACAAATTTTGTATCCACGCAGGGCTCTAGAAATAGAACCCAAGCCTTCCAACACCCAGGCTTAGGAATGATACAGGGATTGAATAGGGGAGCCCTGCACAAAGCCAAAATAAACAGGACTTGTGATGGAGAGCTATGCAGGGCTTGGAAAGTACAGCACCATCTCCTACCACACACCAGGCAGCAGGACACTGACACAGTCACCGCGGGCTATAGCAACCAGGTGAGCAAACCTTTGTATTCAGACCCTCCATCCCATGCCAGCCTGCCCTCCCTGTTGCTGTACTGAGAGCTAATGTGAAGCAGTGGTGCTGTACCATCTTAGTCACAGTGTGTTGCAGAACAGCATAAATTGCACAGGTTTGAAAGGTCTTTGATACATCTGCCTTGGCTGGGCGGATTGCTCCCTATTTGTTATTTTGTACTTTGCTCCTGCCGTATTTGTCACTTAAAACAAAAATCAAAATAAAATATTTGGGGGAGACAAAAGGATCTCTGTTCTTAGCAAAGGGTTTTATTATTATTTAATGATGAGAATACTTGACACGCACAGTGAGCTACATTTCCAGAGCACTGACAAGATATTTAATACTAAAATGTGCAAAGTGCAGCCAGCCCACGGCAGGAGCAGTGAGACACAGATTCTGAGGTCTGTGTTTCCTCCGCAAGGGTTAGTGCCATCACTTAAAAGTAAAAACAGTGGAGGGAACTGCATTCCTGCTGCAGCTTTAGGTGTTGATGATATCAGCCATTCCAGGGGAATTAGAGACCACTCAACTCAGTGCTTGGGTGGTAAGTGATAAAGGACTAGACCCAAAGCACAAAGAACACAATGGAAAGTCTCTCACTGACTTCTGTGGAGTTTGGATCAGGTCCAACGTCCAAAGTGAACATTTTGTTTTAATACATGTTTACTCATAGAATCATAGAAGATTAAGATTGGAAGAGACCTCAGGGGGTCAGCTACTCCAACCCCCTGCTCAAAGCAGGGGCAAAACCAACTAAATCATCCCAGCCAGAGCTTTGTCAAGCTGGGCCTTAAAAACCTCTAAGGCTGGAGATTCCACCACCTCCCTAGGTAACCCATTCCAGTGCTTCACCACCCTCCTAATGAAATAGTGTTTCCTAATATCCAACCTAGACCTCCCCACTGCAACTTTCAGAGTAGCAGCCATGTTAGTCTGTATCAGCAAAAAGAAAAGGAGTACTTGTGGCACCTAACAAATTTATCTGAGCATAAGCTTTCATGAGCTACAGCTCACCTCATCGGATGCATGCAGTGGAAAATACAGTGGGGAGATTTTATATACATAGAGAACATGAAACAATGGGTGTTACCATACACACTGTAACAAGAGAGATCAGGTAAGGTGAGCTATTACCAGCAGGACAGCGGGCGTGGGGACCTTTTGTAGTGATAATCAAGGTGCGCCATTTCCAGCAGTTGACAAGAACATGTGAGGAACAGTGGGGGGTCGGGGGGGGGGGGAAGAATAAACATGGGGAAATAGTTTTACTTTGTGTAATGACACATCCACTCCCAGTCTTTATTCAAGCCTAAGTTAATTAATTCCAATTCAGCAGTCTCTCGTTGGAGTCTGTTTTTGAAGTTTTTTTGTTGAAGAATTACAACTTTTAGGTCTCAGAGTAACAGCCGTGTTAGTCTGTATTCGCAAAAAGAAAAGGAGTACTTGTGGCACCTTAGAGACTAACCAATTTATTTGAGCATAAGCTTTCGTGAGCTACAGCTCACTTCATCGGATGCATATTGTGGAAACGGCAGAAGACATTATATACACAGAGACCATGAAACAATACCTCCTCCCTCCCCACTCTCCTGCTGGTAATAGCTTATCTAAAGTGATCACTCTCCTTACAATGTGTATGATAATCAAGGTGGGCCATTTCCAGCGCAAATCCAGGTTTTCTCACCCCCCCCCCCCCTTTCCAAAAGCCACACACACAAACTCACTCTCCTGCTGGTAATAGCTTATCCAAAGTGACCACTCTCCCTACAATGTGCATGATAATCAAGGCGGGTCATTTCCAGCATAAATCCAAGTTTAACCAGAACATCTGAGGGGGGAGGTAGGAAAAAACAAGGGGAAATAGGCTACCTTGCATAATGACTTAGCCACTCCCAGTCTCTATTTAAGCCTAAATTAATAGTATCCAATTTGCAAATGAATTCCAATTCAGCAGTTTCTCGCTGGAGTCTGGATTTGAAGTTGTTTTGTTGTAAGATAGTGACCTTCATGTCTGTAATTGCGTGACCAGAGAGATTGAAGTGTTCTCCGACTGGTTTATGAATGTTATAATTCTTGACATCTGATTTGTGTCCATTTATTCTTTTACGTAGAGACTGTCCAGTTTGACCAATGTACATGGCAGAGGGGCATTGCTGGCACATGATGGCATATATCACATTGGTGGATGTGCAGGTGAACGAGCCTCTGATAGTGTGGCTGATGTTATTAGGCCCTGTGATGGTGTCCCCTGAATAGATATGTGGGCACAGTTGGCAACGGGCTTTGTTGCAAGAATAGGTTCCTGGGTTAGTGGTTCTGTTGTGTGGTATGTGGTTGTTGGTGAGTATTTGCTTCAAGTTGGGGGCCTGTCTGTAGGCAAGGACTGGCCTGTCTCCCAAGATTTGTGAGAGTGTTGGGTCATCCTTCAGGATAGGTTGTAGATCCTTAATAATGCGTTGGAGGGGTTTTAGTTGGGGGCTGAAGGTGATGGCTAGTGGCATTCTGTTATTTTCTTTGTTAGGCCTGTCCTGTAGTAGGTGACTTCTGGGAACTCTTCTGGCTCTATCAATCTGTTTCTTCACTTCCGCAGGTGGGTATTGTAGTTGTAAGAATGCTTGATAGAGATCTTGTAGGTGTTTGTCTCTGTCTGAGGGGTTGGAGCAAATGCGGTTGTATCGCAGAGCTTGGCTGTAGACGATGGATCGTGTGGGGTGGTCAAGGTGAAAGCTGGAGGCATGTAGGTAGGAATAGCGGTCAGTAGGTTTCCGGTATAGGGTGGTGTTTATGTGACCATCACTTATTAGCACTGTAGTGTCCAGGAAGTGGATCTCTTGTGTGGACTGGTCCAGGCTGAGGTTGATGGTGGGGTGGAAACTGTTGAAATCATGGTGGAATTCCTCAACGGCTTCTTTTCCATGGGTCCAGGTGATGAAGATGTCATCAATGTAGTGCAAGTAGAGTAGGGGCATTAGGGGACGAGAGCTGAGGAAGCGTTGTTCTAAGTCAGCCATAAAAATGTTGGCATACTGTGGAGTCATGCGGGTACCCATAGCAGTGCAGCTGATTTGAAGGTATACATTGTCCCCAATTGTGAAATAGTTATGGGTGAGGACAAAGTCACAAAGTTCAGCCACCAGGTTTGCCATGACATTTTGGGTATACTATTCATGACGGCTTGTAGTCCGTCTTTGTGTGGAATGTTGGTGTAGAGGGCTTCTACATCCTTAGTGGCCAGGATGGTGTTTTCAGGAAGATCACCGATGGATTGTTATTTCCTCAGGAAGTCAGTGGTGTCTCGAAGGTAGCTGGGAGTGCTGGTAGCGTAGGGCCTGAGGAGGGAGTCTACGTAGCCAGACAATCCTGCTGTCAGGGTGCCAATGCCTGAGATGATGGGGCGGCCAGGATTTCCAGGTTTATGAATCTTGGGTAGCAGATAGAATACTCCTGGTCGGGGCTCCAGGGGTGTGTCTGTGCGGATTTGATCTTGTGCTTTTCCAGGGAGTTTCTTGAGCAAATGCTGTAGTTTCTTTTGGTAACTCTCAGTGGGATCAGAGGACAGTGGCTTGTAGAAAGTGGTGTTGGAGAGCTGCAGAGCAGCCTCCTGTTCTTATTCCAACCTATTCATGATGACAGCACCTCCTTTGTCAGCCGTTTTGATTATGATGTCAGAGTTGTTTCTGAGGGCGTGGATGGCATTGTGTTCTGCACGGCTGAGGTTATGGGGCAAGTGATGCTGCTTTTCCACAATTTCAGCCCATGCAAGTCAGCGGAAGCACTCTAAGTAGAAGTCCAATCTGTTGTTTGAGACCACTGCTTCTTGTTCTGTCATCTGCCACCACTGAGAACAGCTGAGCTCCACCCCCTTTGGGACCCCCCCTTCAGGTAGTTGAAGGCTGCTACCAAATCCCCCCCTCACTCTTCTCTTCTGCAGACTAAACAAGCCCAGTTCCCTCAGCCTCTCCTCCTAAGTCATGCCCAGCCCCCTGATCATGAGGCTCTAACCCCTGGTGTGTTGTAGCTAAACACGGGCAGCACTTTTCTTCGAGCCGGGTTTCACATAAAGCCATAAAACCAGGCGAAGGGGCTGCTGAGTTCGGCTACTGAATTACGCTCCTGTCACTGGTTCGAGTCTGAAGCGCGGGAGCGGACGCCCGCTAATTAAACACGATCCTTTATTCACGCCTCCCTTCCTTTGCACGTGAAACGCCGGCCCGCAGCCTTCCCTGCTCCGATGACCACATTCCCGCACCCCAATTCGCTGGCTGGGACTGCGGGTGCCGCGGCCCGGGTCCACCTGCCCCTGGCGGGACCCACCGCACTGGGCTCACCAGAGCGGACCGCGGGACCAGAGGGGGGAAATCGCGGCAACACGCTGCCGCCAGCGGCACCGCGTCCGGCTGGCAACCGGCGCCGTCCAACACGCCCCAAGCCCGCCCGCCCGCCGCGCGCTGCCTCCGGCGGGGGCCCCGGGGCGAGGGGACGGGCGGAGGCTCTCGCGGCCGCTCCAAGCCCAGCCCGGGGGCTGCAGCCGCGGGGCGGGGCGGGGCGGGGGGTGTGGCCGCTGCCCCCACGCCATTGGCTGCGCGGCCCGTGACGCGCCGGGGCCGGGGCGGGGCGCGGGGCGCCGGAGCCCGCCGCGGGGCGCTGGGAACCACGCTGCAGCCCCGGAGCGGCGGCGGCGGCGGCGGCGGCCGGGAGATCGCTCCGGCGGCGGCTGCAGGGAGCGCGCCCCCGCCTCGCCTCGCCTCGCCTCGCCTTCATGCCGCCAGCCCGGCTCCGCAGCCGGCTGCCCTGAGCCGCCCCAGCCATGGGAGACGGCTGGCTCGCCCCATTTTGCAACCCCCCCAACCGGTCCAGCTCCCCGCCGCCCGTGCCCCCCAGCAGCGCCTCCACCCTGCCCTACCCGCCGGGCAGCAGGCAGCTGCCCCTGGAGCTGCCCTCCCACCAGTGGGCGGTGGGCATGGGCATGCTGATGGCCGTGATGGTGCTGCTGATCGTGGTGGGCAACGCGCTGGTGATCGCGGCCATCGGGCGCACGCAGCGGCTGCAGACCCTCACCAACCTCTTCATCACCTCGCTGGCCTGCGCCGACCTGGTGATGGGCTCGCTGGTGGTGCCCTTCGGGGCCACGCTGGTGGTGCAGGGCCGCTGGCTCTGGGGCTCCTTCCTGTGCGAGTGCTGGACCTCGCTGGACGTGCTGTGCGTGACGGCCAGCATCGAGACCCTGTGCGTCATCGCCATCGACCGCTACCTGGCCATCACCTCGCCTTTCCGCTACCAGAGCCTCATGACCAAGGGCCGGGCCAAGGGCATCATCTGCACCGTCTGGGCCATCTCCGCCCTGGTCTCCTTCCTCCCCATCATGATGCATTGGTGGCGGGATGGAGATCCCCAGGCTCTGGATTGCTACCAGGACCCCAGCTGCTGTGACTTCGTCACCAACAGGGCCTATGCCATCGCCTCCTCCATTATCTCCTTCTACATCCCCCTGCTCATCATGATCTTCGTGTACATCAGAGTCTACCGGGAGGCCAAGGAACAGATGAGGAAGATAGATAGGTGCGAGGGCAGGTTCTATTGCAGCCACCCCCAGCCTCCTGCTCAGGCCCAATCCCACCATCAGCCCATCCTGGGCAATGGCAGAACCAGTAGGAGAAGGACCTCCAGGATCCTGGCCTTGAAGGAGCAAAAAGCCCTCAAGACCTTGGGCATCATCATGGGTGTCTTCACCCTCTGCTGGCTCCCCTTCTTCCTGGTCAATGTGGTCAAGGTCTTCAACAGGGACCTGGTGCCAGACCAGCTCTTCGTCTTCTTCAACTGGCTGGGCTATACCAACTCGGCTTTCAACCCCATCATCTATTGCCGCAGCCCTGACTTCCGCAAGGCCTTCAAGAGGCTGCTCTGCTGCCCCAGGAAAGCTGACAGGAGGTTGCACGCTAGTGCTGGGGAGCTCTCCCGGTATGCAGGGAGCTTCATCAATACTTTGGGCACCCCAGAGCGCAGCCTCGGAGGGACGTGGTCCGATTGCAATGGGGGCACACAGGGAGGCAGTGACTCCAGCCTGGAGGAGAGGAATAGCAAAATTTCCTATTCGGAATCCAAGGTATAACGATAGGGTGTGTGTCGGGTTTGTGGGGCAGAGGGTTGTGTGAACTGGACACTGAGCATAAAGAAAGACAGGAAGGGAAATAAAAAGGAGGAAAAACCCACCAGGAGTCTGGTTAATAAACACCAGACCAAACTGATCTCTTGCTGTGGAGAGAATCTGTGTTTACTTAAAATTAAAAGCAGGTGAACTTGTATGCAGCATACCTCATCTAAAGCTAAAGGAAATGGGAGGCCACTGACCACTGAACAAAGGAAATTAACAAAAACTGTCTCAAACCCATTTGGATTATTATTATCTTTTTGTGGGGAGTTCGATGTTGGCAGTTAGGGAAAATAATTTGAAAAGGAAATAAGAAAATAGGTTACGTTTTTCTGAGGGCTCCAGTTGCAGAGGGGCCTGATCCTGAAACACTGAAGTATTGGAAATTTGCCGTTGCCGTCAGCGTTGGCAGGGTCAAGCTGTTATTAACCTTGCTTCAAAAGTTAGGACTATCGGCTGTCCCTGGCCTTACTTCTGGGAGCTGCAGCAGTAGCCCCGCATGGAGGAAAAGAGCCTCATTTTAATAAGTGCTGGCTGCCGAAAAATCTCACTGAAGTCCGTGGGAATTGCAGGTGTTCAGCACTTTTGCATATGGCTAAAAGTCACTTTTGAAAGTGTGTTTGTGTTCTGATGAGTTTTATTTTAAGCTCTTGGTAGCTGGGCTCCCCCATTATCTAAAGCAGATAAGAATAAAAAATACATAGTGTTGAACATTGATATACTTGTATTTTGAACAAACCTCTTCTGCTTTTTTCTTCAGCACCAGCAAACTAGTGACTTTTTGTGCTTATCTTCCCTTGCCAGACAATAGCAATCAGGCTGAGAAACTTCTACCTCAAACTGTGCATATTGTACAGGGGAAATGAAAAAGACGTGTTTATATTAAACAGCTTATTTATGTATCACTATTAGTATTTTCTAAAAAAAACCCACCCCAGTCATTGAGCCTTCTGCAGTTTGTTCATTGTAATTACAGATGAACAGTAAAAATGAATTCCTTGTATCAAAAAAATTACTGCACATTTTTAAAAAACGGCAACATAGCCATTTTTTGCACAGTGTCAAGAATTATAAAAAGAGGAGGACTTGTGGCACCTTAGAGATTAACAAATTTATTTGAGCATAAGCTTTCGTGAGCTAGTGAGCTGTAGCTCACAAAAGCTTATGCTCAAATAAATTTGTTAGCCTCTAAAGTGCCACAAGTCCTCCTTTTCTTTTTGCGAATACAGACTAATACGGCTGCTACTCTGAAACCTGTCAAGAATTGTAAAGTGAATTAAAGATGTTACTTGCACAAAAATTACAAATAAAACGGGGGTTAAATAACGTCAAACCCCAGATCTATTTCTGTTCTTGTCTGCTATGTTACGATTTTACTGAAGTTACTTTTTTAATATTACTTTATCAAGGTACTGTACATGTATCTATATTATAAATTAAAGTATCTTAAGGGTCCTTTTATTTTTATTTTTTATGTCCAAGTGCCCACATGAATCTGCTGTTGTTTTAGCACTTGTGTGTCATTTCCATTTTCCCATCTCTGTGTGTGTGTGTGTTTTATAACGTATTTATACTCTGGTGCAATTTACTACTGTGTAAGTGATCGGTCAATGTGCAATAAATGTCATTGCATCACAAGCAAGTTACGTTCAGTGTTTCTCTATAGGTTCGGAAGCGGTCCCCGGCTAGACTGGAAAGGACAGAGTTTGTTTTGCTCGGAAATGTGGATCAGGTTAACGATACAGTCCTGTCTAATGGCTTTTCCTGACACAATATTGTAAAAAAGAAAACAAAAAAAAACCTTTCTAGACCAAATAAGGTTGTGTTCCTGTTACAGTGAGAGCTGCCTACTTCTCTTAAACTAATGGCCAAAACAAGGTGTTTCCAGCCTAATTTTGAAAACATTCGTTTTCTTTAATGATGCCTACTTAGCTATACCAATCTTTATTGTTAAGTGTACTGGACTGGGAGTCAGGATACCTACTATTTAGAAGTACAAAACTATTTCATTCTATTTTGTTTGAAAGCTGAAAATTCTCTGTCTAATAGAAACTTATGCATTGTACTCCATCATAAAGTCAATGATACTCTTAGAATAATTTCACTTCACACGGATGGGGTCTGATCCTGTGTCACTGAACTCTCAAGGACTTTTGCCATTGACTTCAGAGAGAGCAGGGTCAAGTCCCTATTCTATATGGGCCAGAACCTATTCCCACTGAAGTCTATGGAGGTCTCCACTGAGTTCAGGGTATCTAACTGGAGATATAATTTTCAGGCTGTAATGATCTGAAACAATTCCGGACTTTTGTTCTGCTGCATTGTAAAAACACTTTCAAGCAAAATTCACAATGAGTTTGACGCTTCACACACTGGAATCAATGGGAGTATTGCCCTTGTCTTTAATGGTTGCAGGATCAGGCCCCCTAAGTGGTTTCAACTCAGTGAATCAGATCTAAAGACTACTGAAGTTAGTGGGGATCTTTTCTGTTGACTTCCATGGGCTTTGGATCAGGTCCTATATCACACAAGTTAGGTGACTGGTTTAAAAAAAAAAACTTTCTGTAGCTTAAACAATTATATATTGTGAATAAAGCAAAGCGTATGTGGCCCTTATTTTGTGATGGTATGTTACTCTTAGTAGTGGATTCATTTGGGGCCAGGTTCTGCTACCCTTACGCACATTGAGTAGTGTCCTAGTCACGCTGGTATCTCTGTGAACTTCGGCAGAACTCTGCATATGAGCACAGCTGTGCTGAGAGGGGGAAGGTGGCAGATTCAGATCTTTCATGTGCGTCTTGAACGTAGAACTCCGTCATAATGCCACATTTTTTACATTGTTTCATAATGGTGCATTTCATTCAGGTAGCTGAATAAATAGTTAATTACTAGAAACTGCTGTGGCAAATAGAGCAACAAAAAGACAGACTGCTCGATACTGTAAAGCACCTCTGTCCTGTGATGTGCAGAGTAAAAGTGAGGCTGTCTTTAGTGCTCTAACGCTCCGAGGAATAGTGAAGTTAGCAATCAGCAACCTCCCTGGGAGAACGTTTGTGAAAGTCAGTTCTTTTGGAAACAAGCCAAGCCCTAATGTTTAAAATTTCAGGAACGATCTTTTATTCAAAGTGCTCTTAATATTACAAGAAGATAATGCTTTTTTATGCAGGACCAAATTGAAGGGCCTTTAGAAGGTAGTTTTGCCATTGATTTCATTGGGGTTCAGGCTTGAACTGCAGTTAATAATTCCCCCGTAACAAGTGAAATGGGCTAAATGCCAAAGTGAAGCCAGGTCAGCTGCCAGATGAAACATACGTTCTATCGTCATGGTCCAATGACATCTATTTAAATCCAAGAATTCAATTCTGCCTTCAGTTGTACCCCTACTATTCCAGATAAGTCAGTAGAATTGCAGAGGTGTAACTGAGGGCAAAATTTGACTCCAGCTGACTAATATAGGATGTGATGATTTTATACATGATGGAGGCAGTAGAGTGACGATTTGCTACTCTACGATGCCAGAAAAGATTGAGTCTAATGGACTTCGACCTTGATCCAGCAAAAGCAGTTTAGCACATGCTTAACTTTACGCACCCCAGTGATCTCACTGAAGTCAATGAGTCTGCTCATGCACTTAAAGTTAAGCGCATGATGAAGTGCTTTGCTGAACTGGGGGCCTTAGATCAGCTTTAGGACCAAAACCTGCTCAGCTCGCTCTCCCTGGGAAAATACACTGGGCCACACTCATCCTTGATTAATGCTCAAAGTCACTGGAGTTACATGTAGGATGAATGGTGCCCATGGACTTCAATGGGACCACCTGTGTGAGTAAAGTGATCAGGATTTGGTCATTGTGTTTTGGACAATCAGAAATGACCTGATAGATAGGCTATAGGTAGATACTGCAGTTTTGAAAATTGGAAGGTCTCTAATTGGCTGAAGGATTAAACAGTCAATAAAGATAATCCATCCCGCAATCTGAATGGCTGATACATGCCTCACCTCATCCAGTGTAAAAAAGGCAGCAGCACCTTAGAGGCCGAGCAAGTCATATGGTGTGCATGAGTGTGAAGAAGGGAAGACTATGGATTGCTGTCTTGGTACAGCCTGTTCTTAGTATTAAAGCAGGAATATGCTCTGCGAAGAGTTACAGCACAGCTGAGTTACTCCGGAGGCAATGAGTCAAACATCCATAATGATATTTCTTTGAAGAAAACCAGACAGGGATTAACAGTAGGAGCTGCACTAGGAGAGTACAAACATTAGACTCGCAGCCACACACACACTTGCACGGAACAGTTAAGTAACAGAAGAATAGAGACCTGAAGGGAAGGGAGAAGCAGATAAAACAGAAAATTTACTGTAAGAGTACAGACTGCATGCATTATGGCTCAAATTGTTGGGCCAGGATGTCTAAACAGGCTTCTAAACTTTAGGCACTAAAATAGAAGTGGCCTGTTTGCCAAAGATGCTAAGAGCCTGTAGCCCCCATTGACTTCCTTGGGAGCTCAGTACTTTTGAAAATTAAGCTACTTCTCTATAGGCATGTACATGTAAATCTAGGAGCCTAACTTTAGGCATATGGGTTTGGAGATTTGGGCTTCAGTGTAGCTGCTTTTTGCAGGTAAAAAGCATAAGGAAACCAGATCCTGCATTTCTTGTGAATCCAGCACTGCAGACAAGTTAGGAGAGGAGTTGGATTTTTTAAAAGTAGTCAGGTGCCTAAAGATAGGCATCTAATGGAATTTTCAAAAGTTCATAGGTGCCAATGGGAGTTAGGTGCCTAGCCAATCTTGAAAATTCCACTAGGCACCTATCTGCATCTTTGGGCACCCAAATATCTTTACAAATCTGGCTCAAAGTGTGCACCTATATTGCACTTTCATCCATGGATTACATATAGATCTAGTACCAGCATGAGCCATTAGTAAGCAAAAATTGCAACTAACTAAATCTGGTTCAGTAAGTGTGGCCTAAAATGCTTAGAATTACATCTTTACATCGCCCACAACGTGCAAGGAATTCAGCATGATAAGTAGTTTGTTTCTGATAGCATGCACTATTTCTGTTGCAAACACCATCTCTGTCATTTGGCATGCAAGTGTATTCAAATATAGAAGACAACTTCCTTATCTTTTTTTTCCAAGCCTTATCTGAAGTTGAAATTTTATTAATAACTTTTAAGCTGTTATTGTGCAAACCTCCCCTGCTCTGCACACTTTCCTAATTTATTATTTCCCATGTGGTGGAACGTACTTACTTCTTCCCCTGTAATATATCAGTGATGGAAACGGTACAGTCATGAACTAACAGCACAGACATTCTTCAGGCCAAATTCTATCCTCAGCTATGCTTGTGATATGCCACTGGAGTCAGAATTTGGCCCTTATAATCTAATCTTTTATGAGAGCTACTAAGCAACAGCTCCAGAAAGGTCCATTGTCACCAGCAATAATTGACATTTACTAATGAAGCTGGAGCAATTAGTCCCATTAAAAGCATTCAAGGAAAATGTTAACTGCTAAACCACGGTTAGTGCTGTATACATCAAATAATGGGTGTTTTGTTTGTTAGTTTCTGTTAGGTGATATGATGGAAAATAATTATCCTTTGACTAGCAGCCAGCTTTGTACTATTCAGAAAGGGGAAGACATGTTCGGTTTGAAGGATTATACTTAAAATAGTTCTGCTACATTAGCCACATCAGCAGCTGGCGTGAAGTTAATTCCCATGCACACATACACACGCCCTCCATGTTATTTCGCAACAAGAACAGGAGGACTTGTGGCACCTCAGAGACTAACCAATGTATTTGAGCATAAGCTTTCGTGGGCTACAGCTCACTTCATCGGATGCATTCAGTGGAAAATACAGTGGGGAGATTTATATACGCCGAGAACATGAAACAATGGGTGTTATTGAGAGTAATCAGGAAAGGTGAGCTATTACCAGCAGGAGAGCGGGGCTGGGGGGGGGGGGGGGGAACCTTTAGAAGTGATATCAAGGTGGGCCATTTCCAGCAGTTGACAAGAATGTTTGAGGAACAGCGGGGGTGGGGGTGCAGGAAATAAACATGGGGAAATAGTTTTACCTTGTGTCATGACCCATCCACTCCCAGTCTTTATTCAAGTCTAAGTTAATTGTATCCAGTTTTCAAATTAATTCCAATTCAACAGTCTCTCCTTGGAGTCTGTTTTTGAAGTCTTTTTGTTGAAGAATTGCCACTTTTAGGTGTAATCGAGTGACCGAAGAGATTGATTTCGGTTTCACTCCTGTCGGTCAAAGTTTTTGGTTTGATTGAAAAAACAGTAATGCAAGCTGCTGAAATAAGGTCAAGCACACTGTCCCACAGGATTGTTTTTCATATGCATCACTGATTCACATTCAGAGGGTGCCAAATTCCAAAATGGCTAAGGAGGAAGTAAGTATTCTTTGTCTTTCTGTAAATAATCATGGATAACATAAGATCAACAGTAGAATTGCTATGATTGCCTTACACAACAGATCCATTTTTTTTTTACTTAGATGTCCATTTAGCCTAAACAGTAATAGCCATGCTAAACTGTGTCAGAGAAAGTGACAGAGTGGGGGAAAAAAGAATAAACAAGATGATATCTGGTGGCAAAGCCGGAGGGGGAACCAACAGGGCTGGATGTTACGTTTTCTTTCCAACATAATGCCCCTTATGAAAAAGTCCAATCGTTTTTAATAGGAATGAATCTGTCAGCTACTCAATAGAAATAAAATAGCCTTCAACAGAAATGACTCTAAAAACCTAGAGAATTTTATCCCTTCTATATTCTCTAGGCCGATTAAGCACTTTTCCATAAGGAGATAAACAGTTGGAGCAAACTCCAACACTTCTTAAATGTTCCCCACCTCTAATGCACATTGAAAGAAAAATATTTGAGCCAGATCCTCAGCTAGCGTAAATCACTGGAGCTTGTTTCAGAGTAGCAGCCGTGTTAGTCTGTATTCGCAAAAAGAAAAGGAGTACTTGTGGCACCTTAGAGACTAACCAATTTATTTGAGCATAAGCTTTTGTGAGCTACAGCTCACTTAATGGCTTCAGAGTCAGGCCCAGTATGAGGTATTATCCAACTCCCATGAAATTCGAAAGAAAGACTCCCTTAAGTTGCATGAGCCACACTTGCTTTTAGGAGGAACAATGTAAATCTCCACTCCAGAGGCAGTGGAAATTAAAGGCTTTGTTGAAACAGTTTGCCTAATGAGATAATGTGCATGCCCACAGCCGCCACTCTGAGAACCTAATGGCTGAAGAAGGGGGTTGTGGGTGTCATTCTTGTTCATGGAAGTCAAACAAGCTCCGATGAAGTGAGCTGTAGCTCACGAAAGCTCTTGCTCAAATAAATTGGTTAGTCTCTAAGGTGCCACAAGTACTCCTTTTCTTTTTGTGGATACAGACTAACACGGCTGCTACCCTGAAACCTGTCACTTTGCACAGTCCCGCTAAAGTGAATGGGCCCAATTCTCCAGTGCCTTTCGCCTTGTGTTGTCATTTATACCTGTGCAATGAGGATGTATAAGTGATGCGGCCAGTGTAACTCAGTGGAGAATTCTGACCAGCTAATGTTTTACACCTGCTTTGCCAGGTATAA